ATTTGTATTCAGAATGAATGGGTATATCTCCCAGAAAACTGACGGGAAAAGTAATCACTAATAAAATTTTACTTTAAAATTTACATATTTTTATAGCTTATTTCATTCAAAATTTCATTCACTTTCACCTCCCGGGTATTCATTATTGTGACACGTATATTGACATTTCAATTTTGTTTTGACTTGGCTTCCTGAATACAATCATCAGCATTTCTTTCACATGTTCCGGTTCCAATAAGCAAGTATGTACTAGTATATACTAGTTAACATATACTAGTTACATACATAATAGTTACATATACTAGTTACTAGTTAACACGGAAGTTTTAACATTTTTACAGTGTAGTTGAACAAAGAGCATATCAAGCTCATACAGTCACCCAAGCACAAAACCATGTCATCGTAAGCCGGCGTGTGCTCGATGTGCGCGTACGTTTTTGTCTTGTGTTCCGCACAGTTCAGCGCTACGGACTTCTAAAGCTACTTCAATCGCCTGCCTGCTGGGCTGCGGAATGGAGTATTGAAGCACGGCTCTGCACCGATGCGTACTGTTTCGAGTTTCTCCGTTTGAGGCGGCTGCCGCGGCTGTGGTCCTCGGTTTGAATAGATGCACTAGTTCCGCTGGTGAGCCGTGTATAATTTCTGGCCTCGATATGTGCCGGAGCCTTGCGGCGCCGTCCAGCGCCCGGGGCAGTGCGCCGTGACACGCGGTCGCCGCGTCGGGCGGCGGTGGTAGCCGGCCGTTCCACGCTGCCGGTGGAGCGGGCTCGGCCAGACGGCTGTGGTGTGTCCCCGCCGCGACCCGTGCGACCCGGCGAGCTGGCGCAGCTCACCGCGTGAAACACCAAACTGCGACAGCCCATGGCTCGTGGGACAGGACAGCATGATGACTGATGGTGAGACGATAACAGACATGGCACACCTGAGCACAGGGACCGACAGACAATCAGCTTACACATCCGAAATCAATAGTATCAGTCCAGCCTAAAAACGTTGTTCAATGCTGACTCGCACCGTTCACTGCAAAATGAAATCCAAAGTGTGCGTAAGATTACACCGAAAACACACCAAACACAGGGATAAACAGCGATTTCTGAACATTATGACTCCCATTTGCGACACACCTGGCTGCGATAGCTCTGACGGCGGTGTTTTTCTCCGAGCTCCACAATATCAAATGTGTTTGCTTTCTATCTGCGGTGTCGCACCGGCGGAAACTCCCGGGTCGATAGCTGCAGCAGTGTTTGTGGGCGGAGAGTCAGATGTCAGCGCCGCACCTGGTCAGACCGGCTGTGGGCGCGGGATATCAGCCACCGGCAGCCGCAGATCAGCCGAGCGCTGATACTGAGTCGTCAGCCGCACCGGGTCGATATCAGACGTCAGCAGGCGCACCTGACTGCACGCGGCGGCCGGCCCTCGTGTACCCAGCTAATGGCCGGCGCGAGATAGACAGGTGCCGCGTGGACACACACAGACCGCCTCCGGACCGGAAACTATGTGGTTCACGATGATAGACACAGATTGAACGACTCCAGGAACAATAGCAGAATCAAACTCGGCACCAGTCTCCGGCGCTGCTCGATAGGAGATGGCGCGTCGAGTTCGAACGTGTCCAACTTTCCTCGCCTCGGACGGCCGCCGGCGGGGTCCGTGAGATGGGCCGTCTTGTTGCAGTGAGTGCGACAAGGCACTCTGACACGGGCCACCGGCGCGCCTGCTTACTATGCATTGTGTTCCGCACCCCAGGCGCGCCCCAAGGCTCGGTTCACACGGTAGAATACAAAGGTGCACCGCGGGCGGCGCACGCGCGCAGCGCCGGACCGTCGTGTATGCGTGCTGACGTTCGCAATATTCTGTTGAAAACCAGATCAATATGCTTCACATAGTAACCAGTCCATTAGATAATTGAACATCGTATGACTGCAGGAGAGAGTTCAAGATGCGGCTGATTGGTACTCGAGATAGTGAGGTGTAGGTACCGACTGAGAGCAAGAGTAGATTAGTCGGTGGGTAACGGGCACTCGCCTAGATACAAGATCAGAATATCGATGTCGCTACCGAGACAGCAGTCTTGAGAGAGAGGGGGAGTCCATGTAGAAGAAGGGGGGCGATGGGAATATGGACTGTAAAGCAGGGAGACGTAATCTTTATAGTAATTGCTGTGCTTTCCTAAGAGCAGGGGTCTCCTTCTTACATTTGTTCTTCCAAAGCTCACCTTTCAACACATTATTATACGGTCAACCTCACGTTGTTTTCGTACCTCGTTGCATACCGTTTTCCTCTGTGCATGGCTCATTGCATCCCACATGTTGTTTTATCTGGGCAGTTCCACAGAATTTCTCCCAGTTTTCCTCGAGGAGCGACTGGTTCTGTCCACAATATTCACAGCCAATGTGGCGTGAATCCACCCGATGTCGAGTGAGCAGCTGTCGCAGCCCTGCATTATCCTGTCCATACACATGTCAAATCGGGAGACAGTTGGAATGGATAAGGATCAGTGATGCGGAACGCCATGGCTCCGGTTGTCACCCCTCTCCGCTCCATGCCTGACGGCGCAATGGGAGACAGCCTGACGGGTGCGATGTGCTGCAGGGAGAAATGGGGACTGGGGGAGAATGTGCTTAATGCGGTCACGACCCTAGAAATACACGTCCTGAATAGAAAGTGTCAGGCTACTTTGGTGTCGCCTCGTTGAGTCTTACTCTTGTCCAAAGCTGCATGAAGCGGGTGTTGGTGTAGTGTAAAGGTAATCAACATGAAAGTTACTGGATCATTCCTCGGCCTCAGAGCACTTCCTTCTTCCGGGATTCTGGACTTGCTATCGGCCCGATAACCTGTTAACCTTTCGGTTCGGCCACCTGGCAGGCTCTCCATTTCTCTGAGTCGGCTGCTGATGACCGAGAGTGGCTGGCTGGCAGGCGGTATCGCACCTGCACTCGTTCCCATGGACGGGCCGTCAATTTAGTCCGCCACTGGCCCGCCATTCGCCCGCCATTCGTTCGCCGAAGTGCTCCATTCGGTACTGGTCAGCCTTGTGTAGCCGGCCGGCGCCATATCGGACCGGTCACTCAACGTTAGCGAGCTCGACTGCAATCAGGGTAACGAGCGTCAACGGCTATCGAATGGCCGAGACTCGCCTCGAGACTCGAGACTAGGGTGGCGTTGATTTGCTCCAAGTTAGTTTGAATGAGATGTATGCTAATGAGGCGCCGACAGAGGACGTTTGAACTTTGTTGACCCTGACACTGGTTCCGTTGGTTTAGTTCAGAAAGTTTGGAGCTCATCTGATGATGATGTCATGCTTTTTATAATAAGTGGGTAGGTACGGACTTAGGAATGAAAACATAAACAGCATTCCCTTGATTTCTTCAGTACCTACCTACACAAAAAAAAAAACATTAAACCACATTACTCCTTCATTGCAATGCTTTCCTAGCAATATCACACCCTAGCTCCGAAATATAAACGATGTTTGCTTAAGAGTTCCTTCTTCCCACTGCATATTTTTCCGTAAAAACCCTGACGAAAACATCAGAAATTCAAATAAAAAAGGCTTTTTCTGAGGATCGAGGCCCCAGTCGGAAAGATGAAGCTTGGAAATTATTTTGCAATAGGTATTTAGAGAGTAGGTATGCGGCATTTATCATATTACAATAAATAGGACGGTGCCTATTATAGCGGCAAAGCAACTTTGTTTTAAAAATAATGTTTGGGGACGAGTGGAGGTTGCCCGCATACCTATTTTGTTATTAAAAACCTGGACGAAAACATCGGAAATTTATATTGAAAAAAGCACTTCCTGGGGATCGAGGTCCTGGTCGGGTAGATGTAGCGTTTAAACTCGTATACCTAATAATAGCGACAAAGCATGATCGTTAAAAAATGTCCAGGGACCAGGAGTCCTGCAGAGTGCAGACTATCTTTTTTCAGTTACACCGTGTTATCTGAACGACATTCGAGCATCAGTTGAACTTGAGTGGCCATCTTCAGGTCTAGTTTGTCTAGCTGACCATGCCTGCAATCGTATTCAAACAGACACAAGCAGTCCACTTCAAAGCTGATTGCTTTTGAAACGCGATATTCTGGCGATCGGCGTTCGCCAAGCACGTCAGCATTGATAACGGCCACCTAATCACCCTTTCGGACTAGTTTTCAAACAATTGGAAAAATGACAGGGTGATGGGTGGATTGTCAGTGCCTATTTATGCATAGTTGGTTGTTAACCCTGAATGAAAAGTTGCTTGTCCTAAACGCGCTTGGACAGAACGTCAGAAGGAAAGTTTGCGATTTTTCCGATGCTTTCCGAGGGCGGCATCGGACGTCAGGCAGTTGTCGATGCTGTCGACTCCTAAGCATAAAGCATCGCCTGGAGGTTGCATATTTATATGCTGGGTTGGCCACGAGACCAAACATCTGGAAAGCTTTGGTGGTCCCCGCGGTGCCATCATCGCCGGCCAAATTCCGTCTGGTGGCGAATCTAGAGCACGTTTTGCATGCAAGGGGCCGAGAAAATCAGACTCAGTCTCGGCCCTCAGCCAAGACGTTAATAATTGCATGGTTAGCTCATAGCCTCATACGGTATGGCAAGCAATGACAACTATTCAGCGATGGAATTTTATAAATTTATACCTACCACAAAGCACGTTTTTGTGAGCGGTTTCCATTAGAATGCATTCATTGTATAATGCATATGCTTACACTACATGCGTTAAATAGATAGATGTTAAATAGATAGATGTTAAATAGATGTTAAATGGTTAAATAGATAGAAATAGATAGATAGAAATAGAATAGATGTAGATGCGTTAAATTCTTCTCTTAACACGCAATGTTTTTTTTTTAAATCAGCGTTTATAAGCCATGCCTATCTACATACCTGAAAACAACGCCATCATCATAACAATAATCACATACAGTTTAACCGTTTTGGTCCTTGATCCACTGTGTCCTTACATGGCGACTTCAGGTCAATGACAGCGCCTCTCTTTTTTTTTTCTCAGGCGACATAAGCTGTGATGCAGAACCAAAGCGGCAGTACTGAGCACGACAGCCCGGCTGCGACCGTCTCGACGCCCGGCTACGCCCGTCTCGACAGCCCGGCTACGTCCGGAGCATCAGCTGTTGGCTACGGCGACAGCACGGCGGTACGGCGGAGCACGGCACGGCGGTACGGCCGGTCAGGGTTCCTGACGATTGCGTACCGGTAACATCCGGAGTCTGTACGGTCAGTGGCCGCTGGCCACGGATAAACTGAAAGCTCCGCCAGCGATCGGGTGGCCACTAGTCGTGCACGACGGCGGGTCAAGTGCGTTAGAGACAGTGTTCAGACGAGTTGTGACATTCTACTGATGGACCGTGATGGACCATAATCGATAGTGTTACGTAGCAGTGGACCAGTGACTGATAGGGCGCCGCTGAAGAGACTAAGGGGTCCGATGTAGATCCGACACAGCGGGCCAAGTGTCCCGACCGATGGGGGACTGGGTTTGATCGTGATCGTGTGCTGATGCGATCGTCAGGGACTTGCCGAGGCTGAAGAAATGGAGGCGCTATTTCAACACATATAAAGCAAACGTGATGTTGCGACTGCCAAGGCATTCGTCAGTTGGGGCAGTGTGCGCTAGTTGTGATTTATTTCCCGTTTGTAGTGGTTTGGCGGAAACGCATGGCGTAACTTTAGTGTAATAAATAACGCTGACACTATGAAGCGAATGGTGTGGTGCTATAACTAGTTGTGTTATGTATGTAGTGACCGCAGAGGTCAGCTGCACTCATAAATCGAATTATTTATCAGCCGACTGATCGGCCGCGGACGAGTTTAAGAAGAAAAAAAATGCCGGCGTATTTATACGCTCGTCATTTGTGTCTGTCGAGAAGTTCAACTTCAAGTGATAAGTTAGCGAATCAACTTTTCATTGTCGAATTATCATCAAGTGTAAAAAGGTTTGCCAGTTTATATGACACCGCGCAACGTACGTATCTTTATTCTTTACCAAGCCAGACCCATAACGCTAGTTTGCTGCCCCATCCATGGTAGTCTGGAATGCAGCAGATAGGTACCTAAGTGTTTTTGAAGGATTTTATGAAGCTTTGATTAAACTGATCAACATCGGTATGATTTAATTGTTTAGGATTTTGCCAGTAGGCACTAGCTTCACCTTACTGCACAGTGTGTTGAGTATTGCTGTTTTATTGTCATTGTTTGTGATGTGTATCGTGTGGAGTGTGTCGGAGCTACGACTGACAAAATAAAAAATGGGCTAAAACGGCAACGTTTGGGTGATGCTCCGCAGCAGGTTGAGGTATGCGTACATAACGACAAGGTTATCACAACAAATTTAACTGCGAATGAATCGCTATCTTCCTTCCGATCCACAGTGAGCAAATTGGCCGTTTGCCGCGTGTCGTAACCGGTAGATTTAAGCCCAGACCTATCTCTCTCGGTGAACTCGGTCACACCGTTTTCAATATGCGCAATTCTGCCGCCTGTGCGTCTGATGGCGTCTGCATTCGCATGCTGAAAACTGCTTTCCCATCTATCGGTGACGTTATCCTTCACATCATTAACACTTGCATCTCAAGGTCCGATATCCCCTTTCATTGGAAACACTCTATAGTTCACCCCATCTTCAAGTCTGGAAACCCATCTGATCCCACTAATTTTCGACCTATCTCCTTAGTACCTGTCATTATGAAGGTGGTCGAGCGAGTCATTCACAAACAGCTCTATCGCTATCTCTCCCAAAACCATCTTCTGGCCAATACCCAGCACGGTTTCCGACCCCGGCACTCAACTGAGACAGCACTTCTGTCCGTCAGTGACCAAATCCTGGCCGCCACCGATAGGGGGGATGTCTCTATGCTATGCCTTATTGATTTAAGCAAATGTTTTGATGTCATCAACCATGAGTTATTACTCGCTAAATTGGCAATGCACGGCATAGAGACATCCTGGTTCGCCGCTTACCTCCAGGGTCACACACAGAGTGTGTCATTGAAGGACGAGTCCGGTCGCCGGGTATTATCACAACCTCTCCCCAACTCTATGGGCGTCTTTCAAGGCTCGGCACTCGGTCCCTTACTCTTCACGGTATTTTCCAATGATCTATCACTTTATTCTGAGGATGCAGCAGTCTTCCAGTACGCTGATGATACTCAATTGTTGGTGAGTGGCCCTTTAAACGACCTTAGGGGACTCATCTCGCGCTTGGAAGCGTCACTGGCGTCTCTCGACCATTGGTTCAGTGCAAATGCTCTTAAAGTAAACACTGCTAAAACTCAGCTCATGGTTTTCGGCAGTCGGCAAAATTTGAGAAGCATACCTGCTTTCACCGTTTCTTTTCGCGACACCAAACTAGTGCCATGCAAGCAGGTGGGCAACCTGGGCGTTATCTTCGACGGCACCCTGTCCTGGGACGCGCATGTGTCCGAGCTCAGTCGCCGATGCACGGGTCTCCTAATTGGCCTCTCCCATGTCCGCCACTACCTCCCCGACGGTGTCACCAAGACACTAGTGGTGGCTCTCGTCATGTCACGGATCCAGTACTGTCTCTCCGTATTTGGTAATGGTAGCCAAAAGAACTTCGATCGCATTAAGAAAATTCTTAACTTTGCCGCTAGAGTCATTTTCGGTCGCCGTAAATTTGATCATGTCTCCCATCTCCGGGACCAACTCGGCTGGATGGCACCTAAAACAATGGCTGAATACCATACCCTTATCACGGCGCACAAGGCCATCCAGAGAGGTGAACCCGAGGAGATCGCGACCCTATTTTCCAAAAATTCCCAAACACGAGCAAGGTCTACTCGCCAAGACCACCTTTTCCACTTACCGCGACCCCGACTAGAGACCGGAAAACGTAGATTCGCCTACCGTGCCGCGGCGCTCCTAAATACTCTCCCCCTCGAGCTAACGCAGTTGCCTCCAGCCAGATTTGCCCGTGCTGTAAAAAAGGGGCTTAAGCCTAGCCAGAGTAGCCATAGTAGCTAGCCTCATGACTCTTGGACTATGAAAGGCAAACGAGTCTGTGTGTACATAGTTATGAACGCGGCTTCGTGCGGGTTCCACCAAGTATGTGCGTGTTCGGCGTTCGCGTTGTGTATTTCGTATCCGTAAGTGTGTGCGTTTTCTTGTGTAGGTACCTATTTCTTGTGTTATCTTCAACCAGCTCGGACTCGGAGTGTAATCGCCACGCCGATTGTGGATTGCTCTTGATCGTCAATACATACATACATACATACATACAGTATCAGCGGCCACTGTCAATACAACAGGGCGTCCCCGTATCTCGACATCCGGTGGAACTTTCCGTTAGACGTGCAGCACGTCACACCGTATCTATCGGGAAGGGCACGGACGGTTGATCAGTTCAATCGCGCTCAGTCGGACGTAGCACGTACCCGACGTGCGCGTACGTAGGCACGTTCTCAGAGCGGACCAGCGAACGGCGACCCTGAGCCTGCGGGAGCCGGTCAGGAGTTCCTTATGTTGCGGACGAGCCAGGAGGCATGCTAACATTCCTACGAGAAAAGGGAGCCTGCAGTTAGGCCATGAACGTATGGACAAGGTTTCAAGCCAGTGAACACTGACCGTGGGAGAAGGTCCTGATGCAGATACCCAATTCACCCCTTCCAGACCTCAAAGACAGCTCAACCTGATGATGGAATGGGTTTTAGAACGCCTATGCGACAAGACAGCTCAACCTAACCCGAAGTGATAACTGATATCGAAAATGTCATTTCAGGCTAGCTCACATCACCGTTCCGCCAGTCCGCAATCCAGACCATTCGGGTCTGCATCCGCCCTGCAGCCTGCGTGGTGCGCGCACTCGTCGGTGGCTGAAAGGTCACGCGGACATTCGATCCACTGTAAATACGTCCCTCTGCTTTCATAAGAAAACGGCAAAGACGTGCGTCCGACAGCCGACCCAGCTCTGCGCGCTAGGAACAGTGCCGAAACAATGCAATGGTGTAGAAACGGTCAATACCCATAGTTATACACAAATACACGGCAAAAACGTCTGCTACTTCTCAGCACATGTCGATTGTTCTGTTCCTACCTGCCCTCGGCCTCTTCCCTGGATATTTCTCATTTTCTATTTTTTTTTTTTTTTTTTGCTAACCTGTCCCTCCAAGGTCGTGAATCGCAAGGATCAGGTGGGCATGGCTCATGTTATTGACGCTATTGGGGATATTTGCGCCCACTTAGACGCGCTGTGACATGCTAGATGGTCATCCTTTTGTTTTGCATAACTTTGAGACTTCTCATGGGCATGGATTCAGGGTACTTATGCTAATAGACGCATAAAAACTATCGACGTATAGGATAGGAAAAATGCCTGCTGTAGTATGCACGACCTAATCAAATTTACCTCAAAAAGAAGTTAGCCAAGTGAGAAGGTAAAGGAAGATTAATAGACGTTTGTCGTATAAATAATCCGCACCATCAATCCCGTCTTTCACAGTTCGGCCACAATCTACTATTCCACGCCACAGCGCCTTTCCACGCCATTACGTTAAAGTACAAGGCACGGGGAAGCTGCGCGCGGCGAGTTCTTTGCCCAGGTCCGCCGCCGCTGATCTGGCGGCTTTTCCAGCCGGATGGACAACCGTCTGGATGTGAACGAGTGGCTAGTTCAGCGTGAACAAGTGGGCACCTACACCAGAAGGACGTTATCGGTACACTGCGCAGAGTGTGGCGACGCGCCACTTGGGTGGCCATTTGGCCAACGTCGTGTAGCAGTTGTGTGCGCACAAGGACATCGGAGTGACTATGTTGGCGTTTCGAATAGTCGATAAGCCAACAAACATCCCAGTGGCTCCGGTCTCTTTCCTCAGCTCTAACAGTGTCATCAGTAGCTCACCGGCGTCCCCAGTATGTTTCCCGGCAGTCCTCACCCTGCACTCCTGCCACGACATATCCACTCATTCCCCAGCACCTCCCACCCACTTCCCCACCCGCTCCCCAAGCACTTCCCACCCACTTCCCCACCCGCTCCCTGGTATCTCCCATCCTATCCCCATTCCCCAGTCAATCACGCCACGGCGGACCGCCGGGCCACAATTCCCCGCCACTGATCAGCTCAGTGGCCGGCGCACAATGTCACTGTGCGTGAGGCACCCGCTGGGACCAGGGAGGAAGACGGCCGACCCGCGAGGAGGCGGAGGAGTGGTCGAAGGGGTCACCGAAAACGGACCGGGAGGACAGCATGCTGGGTGGTTGGGTTTTGACGTGCTGTGGATCGCTCGTAACAGTCGCTATTGTAGGCTGCAATGGCAGCTTATGATGACCTGCTGGGAGGTAAAAATAGAGCAGACCATTTGTGGGACGCCGGTCGGACGTTATTTCTGAACACAGCGAATAGAAATGGGGATAGCTTTAATGTGCTGAATATAGCTCACAAAACTGAAGATTGGATTGTGCCGTGTTGGAATTGTGTGATAAAATGAACTGATTGTGTGATGAAATGGATGCATTGCGATGACATGTAAACAAGAAATCAAGCACCAATCAAGCACCATTTTGCAGTGAGCTCTGAAGTATGAACCAGCCTTCGTTTTTAAGTTGCTATCGGCACCGAGCATCAGCTTCTTGATCAGCCAGTCACGGGTCACTAGCCTTCACTAATCTTCCCATTCCAGTCCGCATGTAAAAGCCGTAACGCATTCATCGACATAGGTAGCGAAAACGATTCTCTTCATTTATCGAAATGTCTTTATCATACAGCCATTTTGGGGTTGAAGCATACGGTCGCCTCTATTTCATGATTACAAGGACAACAGAAAAAAAACATTCACCCATATGCAATGTTGACATAGATCGCAACACCAAATATACAGCGGCAAATTATGCTCTATATTTCTTTACGAGCCTGCAGAGGATAGCGCTAGTCATTTTGTTCACACGGGCTACAGGAGCGCCTTTTGCGTACGTTAGTTCCGTAAACGATCCGAGGCAGGTATCTAATGGGCGCGGGGAAACGAGCAGGCCGCCGGGCATAGGAACAAAACAAGTACGGAAGGCACCAGCGCAGCCGCAACACAATTGCATAACCCTCCATATAAAATGGCCGGCGTGCCTTTTACACCCAAGCATACAATGCCAAAATTTGGGGGAATCTAAAAACGCCGACAGCCTTCTGGTCTCGGCGCGCACGCGCAGTCCTGCCGTCCGCCCTCTGCAGGTGGCCAGTGAGCGTAGCGCTGGCGGTCGTCCTCTGGGAGGCGCCGCCACAGTATCCGAGCTGGGCCGACCCCGGTCACTGTGCGGGCCGCGACTGACCCGTACCTCTGACGGCAGCGGCCCGCCGGCTCGGCCTGCTCCGTATCAACACACAAAGCGTGCGACAGAGGCTGGCGGAACAGGGACGGGTACCCGGGGACCACGGACCGGAGCTCGGGGACCACGGACCGGACCGCGGGACCACGGACCGGACCGCGGGACCACGGCGCGGCCAGGTCACCGTCGGGTCCGGCGGCAGCTGCTGCATGGAACATTGACCAAGCCTAGAAATCCGTGCTGAACACCTCCCAGTACTATAATCACCTCATCCGTATTGCCCCGCCTCGCGTTACCATTAGCACGTCTGTCATTCGGGGCCGCCGTCGGCCACCTCGGCCGCTCAGACTCTCGGTACACTCGCGTCACGGGCCCTTCGGCCGCCGCCCGCCGCGCCTCTCATCTCGGCGATCGCCGCCCGTCGAGCCCCGCTGATCCACTCGCAACGGGCCGGCTGAATTGAAGCCGCCGGGATTTCTGTCCGTCGAATCGGTCGGTTGGTCCGTCGGTCGGCCGACGTCCGTTTCACCTCCCGACTCGACCCACGACGAGACGGGCCGGGGAGGGGGCGGGGCGGCGCGCCGACTACCCACCTCCCCGACAGGCCGGGCGCCGCGGAGCAGGCTGCGTGAAGCGCGCGCGCGGGGTGTCGAGTGTGTGTTTGTGTGTCTGTGTGTGCTGGAGAACGTTGGCAGTCTAACGGCGCGCCGTCCGCCGCCCGAGCCGACCGGCCAAGCCTTCCATCCACCCTCCCGTCCCGCCCATACATCTGTGTGCACCTATATATACCTATCAAAGAATAGAGCAGCGGGCCAACCAACTCGTAAAGTTCTTCTTGGGCGCCTCGTCCCGCAGCTGGTGGGAGGTCTTGGCCTGGTTCGACGACTCCTGCAACAGAGGGCAGTCCAGTCAGAGTCAGAGGAGTCAGGACTGACCGGGCCGCGGAGATTGCGTGAAAAATACAGTGGGAATGCTAAAACAATAGTGCAACACCATGCATTACAAGTTAGAATGCAAAAGGTACTGAGGATGGTGCGCTGTAATTGTACGCTTGGTTATGTATCCATAAAAACAATAAAAACAAGTTAGAAGAAACTTCCGATCAACATTAGCAAAAAGGGAAGACAGCTTGAGAAATGCCAACAACAGACAAAGCAAGACAAGTAAACAAACAAAGCAGCAATAACACCAATAAGCCACAACCACACCAAAAGGACACCGGGCAGCGATATGTTAAATCCACAAACGAATAAACGATCCATTTAGGCCAACATCACATCGATTCTCAAACAGAAACGTTGGGACAACGGCGTCGGATGCCACGCCAAATAGCGTTCGCAGCAACGCCAACCCGCGACCTGTCGATATCAATGCACCTCAATGACGTCATTGTTGTCAGCTGACGTCCGTCAGGCCCCTGTAACCCGACCGGGCTTATCTGTCCCCCTGAACTGACGCGCGGACGGCGGCGCACTGCCCCTGTCCACGTCCGATACGCGTCCGCGACACGCCAATCAGTATTATCGGCCGGCAGTCAGTCGCCATGGAACCAGCAACGGAATGGAGAGAGGGAGGGGAAACAGGAAAACCAGTGGCGCGGGAACCGGGGGGGGGGGGAGGGGGGCTAGCGGGGGCTGAGCCCCTCCAGCTTTTCGGCTGGGGGGGGGGGCTCGTAATGTATTTGAGCCCCTCCCCCCCCCAGCTGGAGGAATCGAAATCGGAAATCTACCAACATAATTTCATAGATTCATACATAGGCGCGGGAACCGGGGGAGGGGGTAGTGGGGGAAGCTTGCCCCCATAACTATGCGGCCGAGGGGGCGGTGCCCCACAACTTTTCATGAGGCCAGGAACTGTTGGGCAGCTTGTCCTCCCCAAATTAGGGGTCGTGGGTCACAATATAACGGAAGAAAGCATGTAAGTGAAAAACCCACCTCACTTTTTACCTCACTTTTTGCAAATATTTTCGTTTTTGTTTTCGTTGAAAAGGCCAAGGTCTGAAAATTAAGTGGCCTAAAACCGGTGAGAAAACTAGATTTGGGGGTACCCTAGGTTGATCTATATTATGGTTCAGCCCCCCAATCTGGAAGAAGTTCCCGCGCCACTGAGGAAAACTGAACGGGGAGACAGGGAGAAGGAGCGACGAGGGTTAAGGGTGCATTAAATGGGGAGGATCGAGGAGAAGACTAGGACAGGGCGATGAGGAGGCGGGAAGGAGAGACAGAAATGCAAATGAAACTGGACGGACTGCACACCGGAGCAATTAGAGCTATTAGGATGAAACAGGAGTCTGAAAGGAAAAAGCTGGATCAATGGCACGTCCTGGGTAACATCAATCCGAATAGATGTAGGAGCCTCTACCCAGTGTCACGCACATTGAGTTGGACTCGTGACCGCACAGACGGGACAGTACAATTTCCACGGTGAACTCGAGGTAATCCGCACTCACAACCACTCAAAAGGACCATTGCCTTCAATTACAGGATGCTATCGTTGCTTGAGTACAATCTTGAAGTTTTCCACTTTGATAAGTTCATCTCCAAAGTGCGTTTATCAATCGATGCTCTGATGATCGACAGTGTAATCTCAGCCATACCTCTTCTCCCGAGTATTGGGACGGCTGCTAAGAGGGGATCATCCAATCAAAATCGATGCCGATTCGAATTGAAGCTCAAAGTGCTAAATTGAAGTCTGTCCACTGTCCAGCCAACGGATGCCGACTTCGGAAGGGGGGGGGGGGGACGAAGAAAGACCATACAAATATCAGAATGACAGGTGTGGTATTCTTTAGATATTTGTCGTTCTCTTCAAACAATGGGTTTCCTTCTAGAAGGTCCACACTGCCCGTCAAATTTCACAGCGACTAAGCAACAGCATAGCCTTGTCATTTTCAGAAGAGAAAGGCTACCTTCTCCAAATCCAGCGAGAAATTAGAACATCATTGAATTTAAGTGTTATGACTGGATGAAAATACCAACACAAGTCGGATGGTAACACATTATTTTGTCTTACTTTTCAAGCAATAATCTAAATGATAATCGAGCATAGCAATGTAATAAATATATTAATCACGCGTTGCATCAAACTGTAGCGTACAAGTAGCTGCTCTGCATTGATGACAACAAACACTTCAAGCGGCTTCCACTATGCTTGAGCTTTCAATATCGCAGCTTGCCCAGAAGCCGTCCCCAATCAAAGGAAGGCTGATCCTCAGCTTTAAGCCCTGCACATCAAGCATCACACTTAATTAGCGGAAACTACAGGCCTCGTTCGACCTCAGACAAATTAAACCCTAAAACCAGCCACCGTTGGCGGCGGCTTCCACGCAAACGGGCAAACCACTAGGTCGATCAATGAGCTCATAAAGCGGTGGACCGCCGTATAATCCGGCCATTAGGCATAGACTGGCGCCGGCGGCACACTTATCGCCGCCGACAGCACAATTTCCGACGAAATCAGCGCCGCATCTGACCGCGGCGCACCGTCTTACCAGGAACGCCGCCGGCTGGACGCCACTGGTCAGAAAGCCACGCCGTTGGGGACAAAATGGGCGCTGGATGGGTCAGAAAGGACCCTGGCTGGGCGTCACTTGGTAACTGGATGGCCGCTCCTATGGACAGTAAACGCCCCCGCTGGACGGCATTTAGAAACTGAACCGTGGTCAATGGGAACGGCAGACGCCGATGCAGCGCCAATGGAAACCAAAGGCTATAGAGAAAATGCGAGCCGATTCAGAGCCACTGATAACATCGATGGGTGCGGTCGACGGTGCCGGGGCTCAAGAACAGGGCGAACTGGACAGAAAGCCGGGTGAAAACACGGTCCAGCATTACGCTATGCAGTATATATGCTATTGGTCTATGGAAACGGACTATCAAATCAATCAATGTGGCAACACTGAGCGCTGTGGACGAACATTATGAAGCAAACACAGGTAGCCGTGCTGATTGAGAATTTGAGGGAGACAGGTCGAACGGGATAAGGTCGCTGTTGGCCCAATTTGTGTCTGGTCATAATATTTCAAGAAAAATGACGCATTAACAAAAGCTTTGACATCATCTCTGGTGGAAATGACCGGCGGTTGATGTGATATGAGGCACTTCACACTGGTCGTGTCACCCTTGATGTGGGTACACACTTGCAATGAAGTCACCATTACCAGTGGCGCCTGTGCCACTGATAAAACTGTCTGGGTCTGCGGGACAACACAGTGCTATCGGGTCAGGTTAGTGGCAATGATAAGATATTCCACCCACACCAACGAGTGGGGCAACAGAAGCGAAGCCGACGCGGCACTGCCGGCTCACCACAGCAGACTACAGCCAGCCGCGCGGCGCCTATACGGTCGAACAGACGTCACACACAGCACACAAAACGAACGCAATTACCCGCAAGTGATCTCTGGCAAAAAAGCTACGCTGGAGGCATGCAGGACACGCAATCGCACCATCTGAGAGCGATGCAAAAAGGAACAGGGCACCATCTGGTGGCTGGCGGGGCGTGGGATCGACGCCGCCCGGACCGGGCACTCTGCTACTGCGGGCCGTGTGGGAGGGAGGGGTGGCTGTCGTCCTGCCGGGTGCGGCGGGCGCCGGGGCCGATTGTAGTGCCATCACTGGTCCGGCAGCCGTCTACAGCAGGTGTCTCGCCACACAACGCCGACGCCATGCGCACAAGGAGGACCACCTATGGAAGTGTGGGCGCGGGGCGGCAGGAGCGGCTGGCAACCCGGGCGGGGGACGAGGCGACGCGGCGGTCCGAGGCCGGCGGACACAGCGGCTAGAATACGGACAAAACACCGAGCAGGACAGTGTGCCGGACAGCTGGGTGGACTGGACGAGACGGGCACGCGGGGCGCCACGTGACGACACGGACGGACCGACAGCTCTATTACAGAGGAGAATATGTCACGTGCCTGGCTCACCTGCTGCTGCTCACCCGGCGCGGCATCATGAAAAACAGGCAACGGAACCCGTCAGAGGCAGCACGGGGCACACGCCCCGGCATTGAACACAGGTCTCTTAGCAACAGTGCAAACAGAGGCAGCACTGGACGAAACGGAGTCTCATGCCGATCACATATTCCGGCATAGGACACACCCGATACTGTTGTGCTGTTATCATACACCTAACACAGAACACCATATTTTACCGAGCCTTCCTACCTCAACATTAACGACACCAACGCATGGTAACGCAAGTAAAATAACACACTTACAAACAAGTACAGAAAAGACCTACCTTTTTGCCCACAGGCCACATAAAAGACCGCTGCCTGACAGACAAAAACAATAATAGAACCACACATCGCATGGAACATTATGTAGAGCTCTGTGATATCAAATAATGCTTCAATAATATCAAATATTTCCAGCCCAAAATTGACGAAAAATTGAAGTCTGACCAGACATATCATGCATAAACATCACTTAAATAAATGGTAGCATCTTCACTTAAAAACAAAAACTCTACGAAATGTTTCTGGATAATACCCAGTTATCGGTCCAATCTCGCAGCTTACAGCTCAGACTGCCCCTCACTGGCGCTAGACATTTTACCGCACAAATAAGCAAACAAAAAGCCGAAGTCAATGCTGCTGAAAACCTGAGAGGACTGCAGGCTCAAGGGCATTCGATAAACATCGCAGCTCGAACACGCACGGAAGTTCTGTAATTGTGCACAAAGTTTCGCACAGGAGTCATTTGTTCCTTTTTCAAGCCCTAATCAACTAACAGCGCCAAACAGAGGGAAGAAATAGTCTAGCAGTGCCGCGACAAGCCTAACAAAAGGTCAAACAACGGCAAAGACCAGAGCGAATAAGATTCACACGACAAACAAAATACCGAGCGAACTCCAGGCAATGTCTTTAAGAGTTTAATGTGAAACAGATATTGTATCGAACAGGGCAGCGACACTCGACAGTGAAATTGAAATAGCTCAAAATGCAAGTCCCGCATGAAGCCTTTACCTGGTGGCAATGACACACACACTCGTAGCATACCTTTCGGTTATGCATGCCATTTTAAGAAGAAAAAAAAATGACGTACGTTGCTATGCAAACTGCGGGAGAGACCTACTAGGGTTGAACACCATTTTACAACACACCATTTGTCAAACGCCGCTATAAGCTATAGACCAGCGCCGTTTTCGCAGCGAAACTGCGCGCTAGTTTACATGTCTGGGTGTCTCCATATAGTCACAAAAGCGAGGCACCGGGCACGGCAGAGCACGGTACCGCGCGGGGGAGAGCGAGCTCACGGGCGCGGCTGCAGTAACACCACAAATGAGTTAGAAGAATGCGAGCCGCTGGATTACATTTCCGAGGTGTCGAGCTGAGCTGATGCAGCAGTCAGCACCAGATAGGAATCCCCACACCGAATAGAGGTACGATATGACGCACGGAGAGCAGATTATAATGGTCGAGAGAAATATCCGACTGTTGGCACCCGCGTAAGCGCCTTATCAAGCAGTATCAGCATTAACAGTTTTTGGAAAGAGCATGACCTCAAAAACTAAATGACACAGAACAGAATAAAGCGTAAGTGAATTGTAAGGAAATACAAACACGGGTGAAGACGATGGTCGAAAAAATGGTAACAAAAGTTTAGCAACACCAGCATTAAACAACAGCAGTTGTCTGAGATATTAGAGGCCCAGCTCGAGTTAATCTCCAAAATATTACTGGATACGAAGCTGGTAAATCCACTGCAGAGTTAATCTAATTCGACGGCCGCTGAGTTGTGGACACACGTAGCACGCTGTTGCCGAGATGTGTGCTTCATCTTGGAACAGAGTTATTCAAACTTTGGCGTGAGCAAACAAATTTGCTATTGCTGTGTTCAAACGACGCAAGAAACACAACAGAGGAAGCATTAAATTGACTTTCGAGCTCTGTTAATATCCACTAAACACACAGAAGTTTGAAAACAGCGAAAACGGTTAGTGATTTCAGACATTCAGTTCATGCAATATGCAGAAAACGGGCGGATGAAAAATATCCGCATTTATAGAAGGAATTGGTCGGTAAAACTATCGTCAATTGGTCCCAGCCATACAATGTGACTATTTTGTACCATATAAACACCACTCAGCTGTCATCAACAAGCCTGGCTAGCATTGACGCTCAACTGCCGCGGATTTTTGTGCCACGATCAACACAGTCAATGGCATGGTCATTGGTCACGATCCAACAGGTATCACATAACTACTCGAATGACAATCAACCGCCGGAGCCCACCTAGTCTGTCTTGAGAAAGGTACAACGATTGAGCTAGCTTTACAGAGTCGGCTTCAAACTCGCACACTCAAGGCATGCAAGCAATACCCTGGCGTGCCATCAAACCAATTACAGTGCAACACCACAATCCACTCGCAGTCACACTCATTATCAACAGTAATGCCGTGTAGCACCATTTCGTCTCCGACCTAAGCTGGTATTCAGCTGAGACGGCTCGCCCCCACACCCCTCCGCGGCGCTGCCGAGCCCCGGGTTAGACCGGGGCGTCCTAACGAGCCAGACTTGAATGGCCCGGTGGCCTTAATGGGCGAACATGTGCCGTCCGGAGCGGCAGCAGGCTGGGACGCGGCTCACATCTAATGAGATAAATCACACAAACTGCACTGGAAGGACGTACACCGCGGCGCAGCCGGAGCGGAGCCGGATCGGGGGATTCAAAACCCGCCCTACCGTCCACGGCCGAACTGAGACGCACATATATCGGCACTGGAAGACACAGAAAAGGGAGAATGCCTTCGCTACGGTGCAGTTGCTAGACGCGAGGTATATTCGGCCATTGACCGAATACACCGCCGCCCCGACAGCACTGAATGCAGTTCTGATCAGGGGATGTATCTAGCTGCCGGCCTGCTCTCCGCTTTTGATACCGCTCTGATTGGCTACACCGACAGACGGATTTCCTGCACAGTGGTAGCTTAACCCGCGCCCCGTAGGGCTACCGGCGGACCCTACCACCCGTAGGGGGGGGGGGGGGGGCCGTTTCGGCCCCCCCCTAAGATCTCGGAAAGTTACCGGCCGATTTTCAAAATTCAAACGGCGTTCGATAGCCCCACCCGGGAACTACCTTGTGACCAAATTTCATTGACCTAGGTCAAACCGATGACGTCACAGGTCAGGTCAAAGGTCAGATTTTCACCGTTCACAGGCAATTCAAGAAATGTGCTGTGAAAGCGAGTAAATTGGTAATTTATTGAAAACCATCGATGGTACATTGTTCGTCAAACACATACCTTGCTATCTGAGGTCACTGATACCAGGTCAGGTCACAGCGAGGTCAGGTCACCGGGGGTCACAATATGAATGTGTCGTGTGATACATGTTTTATGGTCCATTTTACATGACAAATGCGATTATGTGGGTTAGGCAGCCTTTGGGGCCAGCCTAGGTCACGTTTTTGTGAAGGTCAGGTCAAGGTCAGGTCAAATTAGGTCAAATTTCAAAGTTGATATTTTTGCATAAAATGGGTATCGATTCGATGCAGCTCGTCACGGGGAGTCTAATGGTGGTCTTCGTTTTGCTCTACGAGTTCTAGAATTGCCAAAAATTGAGTTTGAAAATTTGACGTCATCATTTTTGAACAGTTTTTTTCGCTATAACTTGGCCAAAAAACGAGGTATCGATCTGAAATTTGGTATGTAGATAGAAGACGGTAGGCACTATCACATATATTCCGGTTTTTTTCGAAATTCAAAAAACTTTTTGGATTTTTTGGCGAATATATCCAAAACAATGTTTTTTTGATTTTTGGGGGTCAAAACTCAAAAATTTTAAAAATTCGAGATAGCAGTTTTGTAGCCCTGTCAATTCTACACCTTTTATGTGTTGATCATTTTTCTGTATCTTCAAAGCTGTAGTCCTGACAGGTCTTCTCGCGAAGGTCTTTTTTCGGTCGAAAATGACAGAACATGACGTCACTCTGACGTCATTTGTGGCCAACCTATCATAGCCTCTGGAAAAATTTTTGGTCACAATGTGTAAAATTGATGCCCGGAGGGGTCCTGAAAGTTTGGTGGCGATATCTCCAGCCGTTTAGGAGATATCGACCGAAAAGGACAGGGGGGGCCGTTTCGGCCCCCCCCTACGGGGCGCGGGTTAATGGTGACTGGTATTCTTTGAAGGCCAAAGTCAGTCTTTTGGTCAGCGTTTCAACAGCCTTCGTTCCCGAGGATGTATTATAGGCGGGGCATCATTCAGGGTGTTAGCGAGGATAATGTTGATGGTGATGAGCTCCAGTTTACGGGCGCCAATCAATCCGACCAGGCTTTCATCCTATTCCTGACAGATAACTAGGCGACAAACCATGAGCAGTCACTAAACTCTTGACTAAAACCCAAAAACAGACGCGCACCCAAGAGCGCCGCATACTCACCAGCTTTTTCTCCATCTTGGCCTTAATGTCCCGTGCCAGTGTGAAGAAGGCCTCCTCCACGTTGATGGAGGACTTGGCTGACGTCTCGAGAAACTTGATGCCGTACTCGTTTGCCAGTTCTTCGCCGCGCTCTCGGGATACCTGACGGGAGAAAACTCAGTCAGCCTTGATGATTTCAGAGTCATGTCAGCGGAGACAGACGAGACACGCGGAGATGTTGGGTTACTTTGAGAAGGGTCGCCTTATCGTAGCATGTGATATGTAGCATGTGATATGCACCTCATGAGCATGACAGATGTACGAATGGGTATCACCGGGTGAATTATAGATACACTATTTAATACTAGCGTAAACAATTAATCATAGCAACCGAAAAACAAGAGTCGCAGAGACCACAAGACCATCTTACACGCCCAATGACCATCATTCACACTATTGGGTACATCCAGGGTAACATCTCGAAGCATGTTATAGCCTCGCTCTGCATAAGACGATCCGCGCGCTCATGCCGGCCCAGGGGCTACCTGTCCCATCCATCTCCAGCCAGCCGGCGGGGCCATCCGTCACTGTCCATGGCCGACACACAGCCCCACCGGCAGACCGACGGACGGGGGGGGGGGGGGGAAGAGACGACCGAGCTGGGCAGGGACTGAGCCGACAGGGCAAGGGCGGAAAGGGAAGATAGGGTCCTCTCGGCAAAGACAGCTCACGGTAGCACCCACCATCGGCACAGGAACACAGCAGAACATGAACGGAAAACAAAAACCAGATAGTTCAGGGGCTGTTAGTTAAACTAGGCAGTTATCTATTTATTTTTTATTTATTTATTTCACATCGTGACTGTCCTTTCCATCATACAATGGCTGTTCTTGGCAGTCGTGTCCAATAATCACGGAATTGGGAATCGTATGCACATCATTCAGGACAGACAAACAATATACGACCATACAGCGTGTAAAAATATACCTCATCATGCAGTGTTCTTCTGCAAGTGGTTGTCACTCTATCACTCTAACACTCTATCACTCTAACAGCTGGTTATCACTCTAACCAGACGTTGCAACTTATACTTAGCGGTAAAACTAGGCATTTCGGGTATTCTATCTTTAACTTGGCCGGGTGCCAACTGCCAATAAGGCGAGGAACACACGCCTTTCCGAAATTACGGCCGCCGCAGTTCAATTACCGTCTGAAGATTACCGGAAAGTTCGCTATTGGTAGCAGCCTAGTCTCCGCACCACTCCATCCTACTCGTATTGTACGTACAGGTCCTCGAAAGAAGCAATCACCGACGGAAACGAGTTGGTAACTAGCTCTCATCCGGCCTACGTCTTCTCCTGTCTGCCTCAGTCTGTGGTTAGGTAAAACCACCTACCCTCCCCGTTTCAAGTGCTCCGTCTCGCGTCTCACCTGTCGTTTGTCGTTCATATCACACTTGTTTCCGAGAATCATCTTTTCCACGTCTGCCGATGCGTGCTCCTCGATGTTCCTGATCCAGTTTTTGATGTTGTCGAACGACTTGTCGCTAGTGATGTCGTAGACGAGCAGGATGCCCATGGCGCCGCGGTAGTAGGCCGTGGTGATGGTTCGGAACCGCTCCTGACCCGCTGTGTCCCTGAAGGAGGAGATCGAGAACGTCAGGTCCCGTCAGGTCAGGTCAGGTCGGATGGGGAGGCAGGGGTCGGGTCGGGTTAGGTCAGTAGGTGGGCAAGGAGCACATCAGGTCGATCGAGGAAGTAGTGTTCGATCTGGTCAGGTGGGGCCGGGTCCATACATACCGTTCAAACATGATGCTGAAAGATTAGCTCGGTTACCAAGTTACGTCGTCACATAGGTAATTTGAGGGTGCAACTGACGGACCACATGGTATATGACTGCCACTAACGAAGTGCCATTTGGGGAACAACTCCTTCTAGACAACGCTCTACAATCGGTGCCAAGTCAAGCCCGCACGACTCAGGTCAATTGGTGAAACAAGGCAGCAATAAAAGGAGCGATAAGGACTTCTATCAAAACACATGCATATTCATAACTGAATACATTCATATCCAGATTGGTTAAAACTCAGTTACACAAGCCTACCCACGAGCCTCAACGAAACACCAGGACGGTTGCACACAAAGCGCGTGTCATTCCGCTGTAATGCGACGACTCGACAGCACCAGAAAAACTGTCACATAATGGCTCTCATATTGTTCCCTGGGGGACGTCAGTGCCGCCTCTAACACGGCCCGAAACTGGTCCGGCAGCTTGGGGAAAGGAAGAGGGAGGAATAAGAGATGGGGGAGAGAGGGGAGGAGAGGGAGAGGGAAGGGATAGGAGGAGAGTAGGAGAGAGAGAGAGAGAGAGAGAGAGAGAGAGAGAGAGAGAGAGAGAGAGAGAGGGAGGGAGGGAGGGAGGGAGGGGGAGAGAGAGAGAGATAGAGAGAGAGAGAGAGAGAGAGAGAGAGAGAGAGAGAGAGAGAGAGAGAGAGAGAGAGAGAGAGAGAGAGAGAGAGAGAGAGAGAGAGAGAGAGAGAGAGAGAGAGAGAGAGAGAGAGAGAGAGAGAGAGAGAGAGAGAGAGAGAGAGAGAGAGAGAGAGAGAGAGAGAGAGAGAGAGAGAGAGAGAGAGAGAGAGAGAGAGAGAGAGAGAGATCAAAGGTGAAAGAGAACAACTGCAGATACACAGACGGGCGCAGTCGGGGAGGGGAGGATCCAGTCACCATTCCACTCTGGAGTATCTGGAGGTTCCGCGGGGGAGCCTATGGGAAGGGGAGGATCCAGCCACCATTCCACTGGAGTGTCCCAGGTGAGCTGGTTCCCATCGTGCCACAATACAGGCGGCCAGCAGCCAGCGGCGCGCTGACGACTGAAACAGGCCACCGGGACAACACTGAGGCCAGAGGTAGGTTGGACACTGGGAGGGGCAAGACAGAGCTCTGGGATGCAAGATAAAGGCGCCGGTGGTCTGGTGTGTTGCGTACGTTCCCACAGGCGTGTTTGTACCAGATCAGACGAAACGAATTAGGTTCAAAGGGTGTGGAATGTCCTAAAAAGAACAAACAACCGAATGAGGAGCAAAAGCGATGAGGTTAAGTTAAGCCCAATGTCGTAAACGGTTTTACAGCGGGGAACACAGGGAACTGTTTCGGCAAATGACATCAAATGGTCTGTGATGGAGCTGGTCAGTCTGAGTTTAAACGAAAACAGTTGTAGGTTCGTCGCTGAAAAAAAGTTTTTGTTGATTGTGGACATAAATAAGTGCGTTTTAAATACGTTTTTCACGAAGGATAAAAAATACATGTTGACAAATGACATTTCAACAAAAGTCAAATAATGCTCCAAAATGGAAAAAACATAGTCGGCATCACGTTGATAGCACCCATGCTATGCATAAGAATGAACAACCTAAATAAACACACAACAAGATTGGTTGGTAATTGTTGCTACTTGCATGTTTTCGGATTCCCGGAACTATCGATACTTCCATACACAAGAAATGAGCAGACTCGGAAAATGCCATTCACGCTGCCGTGTAGTGTAGGCGCCGCAATATCTAGTCACTGGACTGCAGCTGCAGCGGGAACAATGCGACACGGAGTCCTATCGTTATCGGCCGTCGCAGCTGGCCCCGTCCATGTACTGTCCTCCGACCTAACGAACCGCCGTCCCGCGAGACGTTTACGTAACGGCCGCAATTCTGCCCGATCACAGACGGACACACGCCCAGCGCAATGACGACAATCCTCTGCCGAGACTGGATATCCCTGCCGAGCACGACACCCGTGTGCGTCCAATGACGGGGAGAGCCCAGACCGGGTATTACGGCCGATCGGCCGCCGCCCAGAACACGGACAGAGCGCGGCCAGCTAAACCAGTAATGGATCGGACCCGGAGAGACGAGCCACATCACCGCCCCCGGGATCGGCCGGTAATGCGACAAAAACGTCGGCCTCATGTCCATCAGGGCGCGCCCTGAGCGCCGCTCCTGTTTCATATGTGGAGACGGCAGTCGGTGCTAAATCTGGAAACTGTCGTTACCAAGACTATCGTGTTCCAGATCGGCGTGGTCTCTGGAACATGGAACGGGCGGTCCGAGGCACAGTGCTGCCACCTACGGCACCGGTAGTCGAGCCCGTCGGCAGAGCTGGACTGCTGGGCTGGACGAGCATGGGTGAAACAGAACAGAACGAAGGGATGTGAGAGCATGAAAAGCATGGGAGAGATAAAGGGGGCAGGAGAGGAAGGGCATGAGTGAGGAAAATAAGAGGGTAAGTAGTAGTAGTAAATTTAAAACGAAAAGGAGAAAAAGGAACAAGAGGGACTCAGAGAAAAAAGTAGGCGAAGGATAGGTTGAAGTGTTTGTTGTGTGTATATGAGTGAGGGACAGGGAGAAAATGTAGGAATAAAACATTGCAGACATTAGACAATACCAGAAACAATGGGAAGCGTGCAACAGCCGGGCGATTTAGGTTCCATATTCGCGAAGCACGACATCCAGTTACCACAGCAACGCTCGATAACCGGAGCGGTGCTATGAAGCCATGTTGAGTAGGGGGAGACGGGAGGGCACCGCGGAATCGCGGGGTCACCATGCTTCCAACTTGTGCTTGTGAGCTATTAGTAAAGTAATCTTGCCTATGAGCGTGTGAGAAAAAAAAAACAGGAATGTCCATTTGGCCTCCTGCAGCCCACCCCGCCGCGAGTGATCACGGAAACCATCCCACCGGAAGAGACGCCGAGCTCTGCTAACGACAGAGACGGACCGACGGCGGCGTCATCCATCGCGCCGCGAGCGGTTAGCGATGCGAACTGAGCACGCCGCCGACACCCGGGGAGTTATTGCGCGCCCCGTCAGCGCCGCGCCCGACTAATGGAAAACAACGACCACCGGCCGTCTTCAGCTGACCGCAGATATTAAACAATACTGGCTGACAGACTTCTCTCCACACGAGAAACCTGCTAAAGCCGAAACATATAAACATGATGGATCGTGTACCACACACCGCAGATTCAGGAAAAAGTTTGCTGAACACAATATCTCAAAAGTCAACAATATCCTGGTATTACGCCGAAAAAAAAGTGCGCTAACATTCACAATGATACAAAGCGCATACCAACAACCATCGGTAAAAAGTAATTACGACGCATGCCAGTAGCCAATTGTCATGTCCGTCCGCCTGCCCACGCGTCGCATTGTCGGCCAGTCATGCTTCACTGACCAGCTGAATGAGCCAATGAGAGGTGTTTCCCGTCCATCGGGCACCACGCTGGCGGCCGCAACTCGTGCGGGATCGGACGCACAGACCACCGCCCACGGCTCCAAACCGCACCACGGCGCGACAGCCGTCACGGGGTATCCGTCCACCCGTCACGGAACCCCAGCCTTCACGGGTGTCCGTCGGCCCGTCACGGAGTGTCCGTCTCCCCGTCACGGCGGCAGTCACGCCCAGACGACAGACCGCCGTCACACACAGACAGACGCACACCACCGGCCGCCAGGGAGGACCGGGTCCGACCAGGCGGAGGAGGGGTGGCGGTGGGGTGGAAGGGAGAGAAATGATGCTGAGTGGTCCCCAGTGACATGTAGTCAGGCAGCGTCCCAGGACGGGCCGACCGACGCTGGGGTAGTGATTCAGAAAGCCTATGGAGGAAACGGCATAAGAGACGGAGCTTTCTCATGTGTACTACGGTGCAGCTACGTAACACAATCATGTTAGCACTGGCAGCCAGTGCTCAACCACAACTTTCACAAATTTGAATTGATTGAAAACTTCGTCCAACTAGTCTCAGCGTATCTCGCAGTATTGAACTCCAATCATTTCACGATGATAAGCATACTTACCAACTCAGTTTATACTATCTTGAAGAATCTTAGTTTATACAAGATAAGGTAAACTCTGCAATCTGCATATAAGCGGTACCGGGTCCGTGAGTACGGCAAACTATTAGTCACCGATGCAATTGCACAAATACGTACATTTACGATTTCACCGAACATGTGAAAAGCAGCACGACACAAAATACTAAAATTGTCAGCGTACCGTGCCACATCTGAGCTTTACGTAGATCGGCAAGTGGAATACAGAAGCCGATATAGGTCGACGGCCGGTCCACGGGAGGGCATACGGAAGATATTTTGCCCACGAGAGACTGCGGGCTGAAGTCAGTGGGGGTTACAGAGCATACATCTCCTGTCCACGCGATTCGACAGGCCGGCGGTCTACGGAAGACGACAGGCCGGCGATCCGTAGACGACAGGTCTGCTCTCCACGGCAGAGGGCCGCGCCCGGCGTGCACTGCTGCCGGACAGGCGGTGAGGCCATCAGTCGGGGCTGACAGACAGTGACAGAGCACTGAGACCCGAGCCGCCCCGCCGACGGACCCCGGTCGGTGGTCGTACAGAGAGGACCATTATCGACGTCAGCAACGTCGGCAATCACCGCCAGTCCGCACACACGTCGCCAAACTCGACCACTCAACGGTGCCTCAAACTTTACCGACCGGAGCATGGGATACGAACCGAGTCTACGAGTATAAATACATGGGGCGTGTGATACGTCTCCGCCTGGATTATTACAGCGGATGCCGGAGGTAGCAAAAGTTGCTAAAGAAATCCAATTTCTGATAGGCGATCAATGGCTGAGTTGACCAATGATTGAAGTCAACCCACGCTAAGCACTGCATGCTGGCGGCGTGTTTGGGTCACGCGGATCTGCCAGATCGACAAACTCACGATACAAAGTATGATAAGAACCGAATGATGTCCACAAATCAAGACAATGTCCATTGTCCACCCATCCACCAACTTCATCTCCTGCGCGACCATTGTTAATGACCCCGGGCCACCTCCATTAGGGGAAGCGCCTAACCGGTTCAGACCAGACATTCGCCAACGTTGACCCAGAGACCCGACCCTCCACAGAAATAACTACCGAAGTGAGCACGTTAATTTATGAAGGAGTGAAAGAAAAATATAGCATGTAAGTCGCATACCAGATTTATCTGTTAAATCACGAAACGAATGAACGTCAAAACGAGCTCGAAATACAAAGCACTAAGTCAGGATTTTCATCAACCTTAAAAAGATGCATGATCCATGTCACTTTGGGAATGAGCCTTCCATTTGGAAAAGAACGGCAGCGAATCATTAACAACTTCGGATGACGCGGTGCAAGGGACGCAGTTTTATCAAGCTAATTATGTAGATATCGGTTTCAGTTACACTAGTATAATGGAGTGCCGAGACGGGCTCACCGCTATCACCTATACATAAAGCACCTATACATTTATGCAGCAATCTGTGCAGCTGGCCTCCCCACAGCAACAGCGTCTCAAATGAGGAGCACAGCGTCGGTTGATGAGTACGCGGATAGATACTGGGCTTGAGCAAGATTTGACAGAGGTGTTATTTATCGATTACACCACCGATTTTAATTCAGTTCACAGTTCACACACCACTGTACCATTCAATGTCAGGCAAAAGTACAACTCGACGAGCTGTGGGTAGCTGTTATCACCAATCTTCACGAGTAATTATGAACAAGTGTTATACTCTCCAGGCAGATCATGCACTTCAATCAACTACTACTAAGCCCAAATGAAGAATCTAAGTCAATGTTGAAAACCATTGATGGGGTTAGTAGTTCACTGCAGCCTAAATAGAAGCCACCTGACTTTCACAAAAGGTATCAGCTAGTCAACTTCGAAATTAATAGATAAAACATTACATACTCTCAAAAACTATCTCACCATGGTAAGTGGAGGGTTCATACAACAGCTACGACGAAGTTAACCGAGATCTGAGTGAAAAGGACAATATTAGCTGCAATTTCAGACACCAACTAGCCAAAGGTCACAGAATGCCATCAGCACACTACAAGTGATGACCAATCAGGTTACATGATGCCAAAAGGAAAACACATAGAAGAGTGGACATAGGTCTAAGTCATGTCAAATGGGTTAAAAATTCATTAGCCACGCATTGATAGCTACTAGGTAAATACCATAGTACACACACATGTAGGTAAATGCTTAAATAGCCATATAATAAAAGTAGCAATCCCAGCATAAGATTCATTTCCAGCAGTGACAGCACAACCATCATTCAAAACTACTAGAAAAATGGTACCATCAATTCAAATAAAGAGCCCTGGTGCTGCAAGACACATCCTGAACTGAAAGTCCCAGTAATAATGTCAAAGAAAAAATGCTAAGGTCAATCACAGCAATAACAAATGGCCAAAACACAACACATAACTGGGTGAATATTCCTCCTTTTGCACCCTTTAAAAACTATAAAAAAATCACAAAACAAAAACATAAAAAGAAGGAACATATCTTTCTAAGGTAAAAAAGTGAGACCACACATTGATACTTACAATAGCTACTCTTCACACAAAAACATTTACCTATAAGTTATACCCAGCCACATGTTGAGTCAGGTAAGGTTGTCATGTTAGGTAAGGTTAGGTGAGGTTAGATTTATGTGGATTTAGTTTGGTTATTTCTGCTTGTAGTGTGCCTTATCTTTTTTAGCATTTACTGATTGCATGAACAATTTTCAATGTTGAGATATGGTTTGTGACAATATGGTGTGGTATTCATTCAACTTTGAGCGTAGGGTATAAAATGATGATTTCACCCATAATTGAAACATAGGCAATAACTGACAGTGGTCATATCTATGTGTACATACCATATCTGAAGTTTTATCTTCTTCCCATCCAGTTCAATTGTCCTGATTTTGAAGTCAATGCCTGTTGGAAAGAGAGCATGATTGTTAAAGTTCAAGTCACAGCAGTATAAGACAGTAATTGAAAACACCAGTATGACTGCAGCCATAACTGGGCCTTGACCTATGGTTGTTTTCAGACAAATAAACAAATGAGCAAAGCAATAGATGTTTAATTTATTAAACAAATGCAAGGTAAATAAGGAGTCAATCTTAGGGATAATGTATCTAAAACAGGCAAGGATCACACTTTGACTTTTAAAATAAATACAGTTCAAACATTTTGAATGAAATGGTACAGGCCAGAGCCCCACTAAACAGGGCTTGCTGTGTTTGGCCCTGCCATCAACCCTCAGTTTGCACAGCTACCAGTCTATGGCAGAGTACAGAGTCTGAAGTTTGGCATATATATATCAGACTGGCTTGCCACAGCCTGCCACCACGGCCCCATTTAGCGTCACCACAACGCTACAGTGCAGTAGGCGGAACTATGGTCATGAGTACCCAAATATAGGAACGTTCCCATTTTTGGGAACGGAGTTCCCAAATATGGGAACGGGCGTTCCCATTTATGAGAACGGAAGGCAATTTTTCGGCCGTTCGCCCACTAAAACTCAAAAGTGCATCACGTCTCAAAAAAGTGCACGCTGATTTAAGTATCTACTAAATCTCCATAAAGTTATCTTTAATCTGACCGTGGAACAAGGAAATTGACCGTGGAATGATATTTTTAATGATTTTTTAAAAATGACAGAATGGTGGAAATATGGGTTATACGACATTTAACATGCAATTTTAAGGAAAATGAAGCATTTTTTACATTTTGAGGTCAAGTATAATAATTTTCGCCTGGTTATGAAATTTCATTCTAGCGACACCAGATGCTGACATATGCAAGCGAACACGCGGACAGTCCCGAGGTAATATTGTTGACTTTTGGTGTCGGGGCGATCGACCGCGTGGAACGTCAGTGATTTTACCGAACTACTGTTGTAAACTCAGTTTCAGTGGTTTAAAATCATTCAGCTGTATTTTATCAGCCCTGAAAGACATATTTTATTTGGATGCTAGCTGTTAAGCGTTGTTTTATAAGCAGCGTCATGAGCGTGGTTTTTGTCTTCGGCGTTTCTAAGCATGATCGTTTGGGGGGAATTTCTCTGATATAGGTCGCTCTGTGTGGCTTATTTATAATTTTTATGCTGATTTCGATCATACCTCGTGCCCATCCTACCAAGCCTTTTGCCACTTACACTCATTAAGAAAGGAAAAAACTAGATTTTCATTGGGACTAGGTGTTTTGAGGGTGTAACATATTCAGCGTTCCCATTTTTGGATACTTCTTGTGCTCGTCAACTCTCGGTGATTAGCAGACAGGTGCTTGACATGTCTCCACCCTCGGCGCGGACGGTGGATATAGGTATGGAAGACCTTGTTGAACATCGCTGAGCGTTGTGGATTACGTAATCCTGCAGAGGGGGGCGTGCCCGCTGCGAGATCGACGGGAATAAAAGCGCAGAAGACCGGGCGAAACATGCAACGGTCTTGCCGGAAAGGTCATCTGATGATTGTTGCGTTAACAATAATTTGCGGCGTTGGACGTGATGCTTGTTAATGAAAAGAGCCCCTGAAAGGCGTCGGTGAAATCGTTCCCAATTTTGGGTACGCCGTTCCCATAATAAGGAACGCTTGCAGCGCCAGTGTACGAGAGCGTTCCCAAATTTGGGCTCGCGGCCCGGGTGATGGAGTGCTTTAGAAATAGGGGAACGATTTGAAACTACGATGGGCCTTACAATATCAAACTCTTTCCCAACAATATTGAGACAACTATCAGGCGGTTCACGATCGTTTTATATTTTTTGGACGTCATTTAACAGTTCTTTTTCTTGTTTTAAATAATGCCTACATGGCGTTCCCATATTTGGGTTTATCGTTCCCAAACATGGGAACGAAAATGCGTTCCCGAAAATGGGTACGCTTGACCATAGTTCCGCCTACTGAGTGTGCTGCGCAGTGGCGCTAGGTTGCACTAAAGAATTGGTACAGAACTGCAGTTTCAGTTTGAGACTTTACAACAATGCTCCAGCATTATGTTATGAACATCAATCATAGTTTGTTGATGATTCTGTGGAAACCTAATACACCAATACGCGTAGCACGCTGTAGCGTTGCGCTCAGAAACAGGGCCCAGAGGACCAGCTTCGTCAGAAGATAAACTTAGCCAAAAAATCTTATTTACTTCATTAGCATATTTTTTAATTGGAAAATGAATTAATTTTAACAAATATATAGGGGTATCGCAACAAAAAAAGTGTTAGCTATAACTAAAAACATTCAAAGTTACCTATAGTCGAAATGAAGGTTGAGTTGAAGGCGTCCTCCGAAAACCTGAAGAGCACACATGTTTTCCCGACTCCTGAGTCACCAATCAATAACAGTTTGAAAAGATAATCATATGTTTTTGCCATTTTTCAGGACCACTACCCACAAATATTTACAATATCAAAGCAAAATTAACTCCCAAAAACGCCTATTTCAGCTACAGTGCACAAGCATCGTCTACTTATGAAGGCTTTCGATTTCACTCACCACTAATCGATAATTTTTTTGACTTTTTTAGCGTGTTGAGAGGTGTTTTTTCCTATATTTTTCTTCAATCAATTATGAAATAATTTTTCAAAGTAACAACAAAAAACATGCGCCACAGCCGTTGCCGTTGACAAGAAATTCTAGCCAAAAGATAAATCATCGATGTAGTGCACAAAGTCAAAATATTGTAGACGAAAACTGCGCAACGTATTTCTGGCGCGAGTAGTAAACAAACTCGCGCGGGAAATCAGTCAACGGCGGGAGCAAGGGGCGGGAGGGTCCCAGAGGGGTATACAGGCATTTTGTTGTAGCTCATAGTTTTCTGAGCTGGTTTCCTGTAGTTAACGTTCTTAAATTTTCGATCTGTCCTGTCAGAGGCAGTCAACTTTGGTTGAGATGGACGCGGGGAATGGTGACCAAACCAATATAGATAAGAAACCAGTGTGCAAATATGGGGCCAATTGCTACAGAAAAAATAAGGATCACTTGGATAAGTACAAACATCCATCAAAGAGACTTCAACATGTGAGTGAGAGCTGTGGTTATGTCTCAGCCTGATGTTTAAGATCTGCTAGAAATAGGTACCTGCCTACTATACTGTTGCTGTTTCAAGAAAGTTGTGCTTATTCATCCCAGTCTGAATGGCATCTGAATCCAGTGTTTTATTGCATGTTAGGTTACACATATGAAGTTAATGCTTTGTCTCTTCAACAGGATGCCAGTTCTCCAGATCCAAAGAGAGTTTGCCATGGCGATTCTCCAAAGGAGGCCGATCTGGTAGCTGGAGCTGCATCGTCAATTACGGACCCTGCTCCTGCTCCTGCTGCCTCATCACACAACATGTCACCAGAGCCTGAGGCTGTGCCTGCCAGTGATACAGAAAATGCCAGGGGAGAGGAAGCTGATGAAAGCAGACCACTGGAGGAAGAGCAGAACCAGACTGCAGAAGAAGAGGATGAGTTGGCAATCCTACCAGATAGTCCCCTCAGTGACAAGGACAACATAAAGCAAAAGTTCCTGGTTGACATGCCAAAGGATTTCTACAGTTTCCTGAAGTTCTGCAAGTCTCTGAACAAGGATGCACCTCAGGGTTTGTATACCATTTCAATTTGTCAACACAAAACATGTTTGCTTGGGTTGTGCTGGATGAAAATCAGAACATTTCACTCCTAAATGAAAGTAGGTATTGTATGGCCATTATTAGCTGATAGAAACTGGAGGGTGTTGAATATTGACAACAGGAAATATCACTTTAGAAGTGTAACACTATTGATCAATGAGTCTCAGGCTGGTTTTATAACAAAGTCACATTTTCAGATGCTCTCTCAGCTTGTGGCCTGAGACTGGCAGGTCCTTTCCTGCTTCTCCTTGGGCGCATTAAGCCAAAGAAGCGAACTCAGGAGTTCTACCTCACCTACTGCAGATACTATTATGACCCACCTGAGGTTCAGGTACGCTGATGCTGCACATGTGAAACAAATGTAAGTTATGATGAACTTCTACATTTGTTATGAATTCTGAGCAGCATTAGCTTCATTTCATAATTTAACCTGATTTCATAAGATGTCTTATTAAATGTACTATAGTATTCAAAGCTTTCTTTATCACTTAATCTTACAAACCACTAAAATTAGGCCTATCACTCATCAAACTCATCGTAAAGTCATCAGTTATATTTTTGCAACTATCTTCAAAACCTTTTCACGTTCCCTCCCCCCCCCATTATCAGACCGTGCTGTGTGGGGATGACGCGAGCGGCTACCACATCGGCTACTTCCGGGACCAGCCGTCCGAGCTGCCCGTCCAGGTGGTGGCCAACAGCGCCGAGAAGAACGGTACCTTCTCCGTCCTCGGCGACAACCTGTTCGCCGCCGTGCAGTACGTCAGCAGCACCGGTGTGATATCAGTCTGTGTGCGTGCTGCGTGTCAGGGAGGGGCGCGGCGGGTTGTCAGGCGACTCAGGCTACACCCCTTGGAGGCGATTCGGCCGGTATTTCGGAGACGGTCCGGTACGCGTATTCGCCAATTATTACAGGGGTACGGTGTCTGGACCGGCCCGGTTCGGTTTCCGGAGGCTGTCCGGTCCGATGTCCGGAGACTGTCCGGTCTGGATTCGAGTCTCGGATATGGTCCGGATTCGAGTCTCGGATATGGTCCGGATTCGAGTCTCGGGTTCGGTCTCCGGATGGTGTTAGGCTCAGTATCGGGATGAGGAAGCGGAAACGGTCGGAGATTGTCTAATCGGTGTTGTAATTGGTTTGTTTGCGTTATATGAATATTTTATTTCCTTCAGAAGAGCGTCAAATAACACGAAATTTTCGCTGATACGACAATTATTACGCGTATTATGTTTCGTGGTTTGTGTTGTGACGAGATATTCGACGTATAATTGCGTGCCGATCAATTTCCCGGTGCTCACACGGTAACACAGGTATTTTATTTCCCCAGTAAGCTGGTATCTACTCAGCTGAGCTCGGCCGAGGGAGCAGAGAAGGACGCGCTCTCCCACCTTCAGAAGGAGCTGAGGAGCTGGGCGGGCCGGTGTTCGTTCACGCTGGACACGCGCACAGCGGCCATGAAGCAGCGCGACAAACTGGTACTGGGGAAGACCCTGCAGGGCCTGGGCGTGGTCGTGCCCTATGACAAGGAGCACGACGTCGGCTACCGGAACGTGCCCGAGACGCACGGTGAGACGGGGAGGGGAGGAGGGAGAAACGCGTACGGCAAAGCGGGGGATGGAGAGGGAGGGATAACGAGGTGAGGGAGGCACGGGGAGAGGTGGGGGAGGGATACACTTTGCGGCATGGAGAGGGGAGGGAAAGCGGGACACGCACGGGAAGCTGAAAAAGGTAAAGTGGAGGATATGGTCACTTTGCTGGTCATCTGGACTGCTTCAGGTTACAACAGTCGTGTGTGGTCACTGTTTGGGTTTGTGATTGGACACTGTCTCCGCCCGTTCTGATTTCGTGGCTGGATGCCGCCCCCGCTCTGCTCTGACATCGTGGTCAGTATACACCCCCGCGCCCTGTCCTGAGTTCGTAGTTTAGTGACTGTCCCCATAGTCCTGAGGTCGCGGTATGGTGACTGTCCCCGCCTGTGCTGAGATCGTTCTGTTTGCAGAGACGCTGCGCAAGATGATGAAGCGTGTGGTGGAGGCGAAGACTGACGAGCAGAAGGACGCCGCCCTGGACAAGCTGCAGGAGGTGATACAGGACGTGCAGTTCGCCAACGACGAGGGAGACCCCGGCATGGGACTCGAGTTCGGTAGGTACTCCCGGGACCCATGTCCCATATATGCAGAGGTCTGCGCATGATCACGTAATTTTATCGAACCCCGCAGAAGTCGTTCAGTATGTCGTAACTCGTAACCGTTCCTTCTTCGATATCGGATTTATGTTTTTGTGCTTCTGGTTCACCACGCCAATGCTGTGTTAGTCGGTAGCTCATTCTTTCACCCATTTCGCGCCCCCATAGGACGGCGACAGTGTGACTAGCCAACCGTAACCGTTTTCCTCGTTTTGCATCGTGCTGCGCGCCTTGCCCCACGCTGATCTTTCCTGCTGCTGAACCTGGCTGACATATTTCGAACACAGTGGAATTTCTCTTGCAAGTTGCACGATTTGGCAGTTTACGTTTACCCTCCCCTATTTGATACAAGTTCGTTTGAGGTTGCGAATGCATAAGTGCCATATAATGTAAAGATGGTTAGGTAACAAAACTGGTAGCTGCTGTTCAGTATTCATGCGTAATTGTGTGACAGTCACGATGTCGTTTGCATATTCTTTAGAGAGCCGTACTTGCGTGCTCTCCCGCTAATCAAATAATTCATTCGTGTTTTCTATCGGTATTTAAATCACTGATGTTTGATATCGACATGGTGACAGATCGCTCACTATTCCCATCCCTCCTATCCCCCTCCCACAGGTTTGGACGTGTTCGGTTACGGCGGAGAAGCGCTTTACAACACTGTGCGGCACGTGCTTCTACTGGCCTACGACCTGCTGAACCGACCAGTCTCCGCCCAGATTCTCAGGGTAAGAAACTGATCCGTCTACGCCCAGACCTCAGGGTAAGAAACCGACCCGTCTCAGCCCAAATTGGTGTCTTTTTGACGCTGCAGTTGCCTAGAGATAAGAGATAATTGGTTCAATGCTTTCGGTAGAAGGCGGTCTGCTAACACCTAAACTGCACATCACACCACTGAAAACGAACATGTTAAAAGCATGACTTAATCGAAGAGTCAATTCACGTGGCCTATCAAAATTTACACAATGTCTACCTTCCAGGCACATCTGGCTAACCGGAGGAAGGGACCACCGGAACTGTGAAGTCCGTGAGTCTCACCTGCCTTCTACCAGTGATCGTTTGCGTACCTGTGCCGAGTATTGAGTGGCCGCAACATTTGCCTGCGTGCGAACTACTTTGCCTCAATTGACGTGTGATTCTCGTGTTTCCGATTGTTTTACGATTTCCTGCCTGGAACTCAATACATGTCGAGTATTTATAATGGTGATTGTGGAAAATTGGCCAGTGGACGATTTATTTGAATACCAAGTACGCACCATTAGACCCTCCGTGATATAGCTTTCTTGGGGGTTGTCACATACAAAGACGGTAGTTAATGTTAACTGGAACTTCGAACTGTAATACTAGCATTTTAAATTATCATGGACTGTACACGATATTATCGTCAATTCACGTTCGGAAGGCAGCGCGCCCGGCACGAAACCATTCCTGCTCCCCGAAACATCCTAGCAATGGAGACAGTGGACGGCTGTGCGGAAAAGTTCGAACTGTGAACTGGCATAAAATTCGATATTTCATACTAAATTCATTAACAAGTTATTTCTGGTAGCATCGTATACTAAGCACAAACTAACATCCAATAAGCAATAACCATGCCGAAGTACCACATCCTATTCTTCAGTATTAAGCATGTAACGAATGTATAATTATATTGTACTAGAAAACGTACACTAAAACTCTGCATTTCGTTCACAACCACCGTTACGCAATACTTGTAAAAACAGAAGGCAGCAAGGTGAAACTACACGATTTGTAGAAATACTTGTAGAAGTAACATAGATCCTCAAGTATCACAGAGAAGAGTGGCATTGTTCCTCAGTGCAACATTTGTTCGTTATGGCTGGCCAAGCATCACAGACACTTGCACACGTTCGTACTATCGATGGAATGTAGTTCGTTCGGATCCCCCACCCACATTGTGCAGTCTCACGCTGCCGTGAGTATAAAAATCATCCTGTCTCAGGTCAGAATATCGGCACCCTGAGTGACGCTGCAGATCAGATCGGACCGGTATCCAGCAGAGTGTCTCAGATCAGTCAGGCAGGTCACGATGTGGCGTCCTGCCACTGCTCGGCCTCGGAGCGCCGGCTCAGCAGCAGTGATGGCAGGTTGGTGGGACGGCTCACGGGCAGGTGTTTCCAGGTCGGCCGCCAGGTGGCAGGGAGGTGCCAGTCGAACTCGGAGATGAACATCCGACATGCTACCTGTAACCAGCGGCGTTTGGATCAGAGAGCGTCAGTGGGTCTTTCGCTGAGCCTCTATAGGCCTCAGAAGGCAGCCTACTGCACTGATTTACTGCAGGGTTAGCTGGGAAACTATTCGGCAACAATATAAATAAGCTATGCAGTTGATACATCTCTCGAACTGGTGCGCAAAGTCCGTCCGTTGCCAGCATTATTGTCACACTTGTAAGCAACACAAGGAACGTTTAGTGGATGATGGCTGTAGCTCTCCATGCAGTGTATAGCGGAGAGGTCCCGAATTCGTCCATTGCTGACTGCTGTAACTTATCATTCGAAGCTGACGCGTTCGTGATCGAAACCGTTCTCTGCGTAAGATAGGTGCTAACCTTTAGGATATGCTGGTACATCTTTTGGCCGATGCAAGCCCGTGGTCCGCCACCGAAACAAAACAGTTTGTCCTGGTCGTTCTTGTTACTGTAAACAGAGAACAAGATGTACATAAGGCAATATTTGCATATGTCAACATTTGCATATGTAATAACGATGATAAATTGGCACCTATACGACACGTCAGTGATAGACAGTGCCTCTGTCAGCCGCTCGCCCTGGTCAGAGCGAAGGGAAGCTGACCTCCCGTATACACGTGCGGGGTTCTGCTCCCACCCCCACCCCCATCCCCCAGCCAAGTTCGGACCCGTCAGCAGCTCCTACGTATGTGAGCCGACGTTATTGATCGTCCCCATTCAGGATTCAGCATGCCCCTACCGACATGGATCGGGTTTTCGAGCGGCATGGCTTTTACCACGGACTTATTACCTACCGTGTTTACGACAGTGACCAAATAAACCCGTTCCCCGGGCATTGCTTGTAACATCTCAAATATCATTCCTTTGGGTATATTCCCTGGACTATCCTAGCATTTGGCTCCGGCAGTCGCGTTTACGTGACCGGACAAGCTATCGACCTCTGACCTTCGTGTCTGAGCCCGGCCCAGCCCTGCCGTCCACGATCAGCAGCGTTTCCCTGAGCACCCCACGGCACCTACCTCGTCCTCCACCGCTCCGGGTCGAAAGTGTCGGCGTTGGGGAACACGGCCGGGTCGCGGTGGGCGGCCGCCGTTCCGTACACGACGGCCTGGCCGCGACTCACCAGGTACTCTGCGCCCCGCAGGCAGACAGTGCGACACGTTAGAGACAGGTGGAGGGCGAGAAACCAAGGTCGGAAAGGGTAGATAGAGAAAGAGAGAGGAGAGAGAGAGAGAGAGAGAGAGAGAGAGAGAGAGAGAGAGAGAGAGAGAGAGAGAGAGAGAGAGAGGGAGAGGGAGAGAGAGAGAGATACATCTGGTAGGTAAGAGAGCATTCGACGATCAAAGCGACATAAAAACGGCAATACATACACTGATCCAAATATCAGTCTTCCTGACACTGCTGTCAACTGCCGGTCAAAAGTCTGTCGGCCACAGTCATGACGTGGTCGATATCAGCCCAGTAATGTTTCAGAGTTGCAAGAGCGGTGGGATACAGCCGGCGATCGGGTGACAGCTGATAGCGTAAAAAGACAGCTGACAGTCTAGCTGACAGCGGCAGTGCACCGGAACTGAGACAGGCGGCTGAGGCGCACGGCTGAACGCGCGCAGTGACGGTTCGTAAAGTGACTGTTCGCAGCGGTTACAGTGACGGTTGGTACAGTGACTGTTCGCAGCGGTTACAGTGACGGTTGGTACAGTGACAGTTCGCAGCGGTTACAGTGACGGTTGGTAGTGGTACAGTGACTGTTCGCAGCGGTTACAGTGACGGTTGGTAAAGTGACTGTTCGCAGCGGTTACAGTGACGGTTGGTAAAGTGACTGTTCGCAGCGGTTACAGTGACGGTTGGTCCAGCGACCCAGTGACGATTCAGTGACGGTCTAGCCGCTCAGTGGTGTTTGTATTAGTTACGACAGGCATTAATGACCGTCAGTAGTGATTTACGACATCAACACCCCACATCAGAGGTACAGAAACAGCTGAAGAAACGACGATCTGCGATGAGGTAAGACCGCGAAAGACAGTTAATGTAAGGGAGGATGATAGGTAGCATCGTGCATTCGTGTAACTACACGAACGCACAATGCGGTGGGCCTCGTGACTGGCATACAGAGCGTGGCTGCAGTAGTCAAGGACCTACCTGGCCATTCCCGAAGGTCCCCTGACATCCCCGGGGCCACTGACTTTCCCCCCCCCCTCCCCCGGGTCACTGACCTCCCACCTGGGCGTCTCTGGTGACCAGCCTCCGACCGCCGAAGAAGGGCGGATAGAGCCGCTGTACCTCCAGCAGGAAACAGGTCAGGTCGTCGTCGCTGATGTCACCGTCATCGGACACGTAGCGCTGAAACGCCCGGCGGGGGGGGGGGTAATCAAACGTCACCGAGCACTGACGTGTAACAAAGGACGCTGAAGGCCGCAGAGAGCTGTGACCTATGCTGTCAGCGACCGCTCTGTGCCACCACGTGTGATAGTACAGGTCTCGCGGGTTTTAGCAGCAGGATTTGCACTGACCTATGAAATTTAGTATACTTCAAGCTATATCTTGGTCGTCTTAAGCTTTTGAGTGTTGAAAATGCGATAGACTTATTCGTTCACAGGCCTGCCATGATCGTTTAAAATGGCTTCATCGTAGATCGATTAGTTTCTTAGATATAACGGGAAATGTAAAAGGGCAAAACCTACCGCTTAATCTCGCGAGAGCCGCACACCCGGTCACACCAATCGCACTTTATGTGAACGTGACGGGTAGATCGAACGATGTTCCCCTGACCTCCACATGTTAATCAAGAGACGCTCTAGCTATTATCGCGATAACTCTCCACAATAACAAACACTCGAAATTTCCAAATTCCACCATCACATCTACAAGCGTAATTCTACAACTCAGCACTCAGTGCCCGTCCTATCACGCCATGCCCGGTCCGTCCGTAACCCAACCAACGCCAGAAAACACGCGTCAGCGACATATCGCCTCAGCCCCAGGCCCAGCCCCCGCCCCTCCTTCCACCGACCTCCTTCCACTGGGGTGACGCCACTATAGCCGACGTCAGTAACGAGGCCAGCGCCTTGGGTACCATGGCCGACGCGCAGAGCAGCAGGTGGTTCCTGCGAGTCTCCGGGTCCTCCACAGCCAGCTTTAGGGACTCGATGAACGCTAAACAGAGAGTGGGTGGGGTTAGAGTGGTTAGTGTCGAATTGAAAACATCGAATTAACTCGAAACGGGTGATCACTACGGGTCGACAGTGAGAGAAGGATATGCCTACGTTCCATATTTTTGTACAGCTGGATAACGGATAACGGTATCATTATTGCTTCATTAGGAAGACGGCAGGCTGAGTTTTTCACAGAAGCGCCACAGACGGGTAATCGATGAAACCCGGCTGCGGTGGGCGCGGAGGCGACGTTTGTGGCTAGCTGCGGGTTGGGAGGTCGTCCACAAGGGTAGAAGTGGAATAGTTGGGTGGGTGCAGAAGTGCTCTGGATGGCAACACTGGGAAAATGAGGATACCGCAGATGATTCGGGACAATACCCGACGATTACGCGATGGTTCGGGACGACGATACAGCAGATTTTTTTTATATTGTCCTGGGACACTGCCATTCTAATACAAGGTATATAAATCAAGATCTCGATTGGTGGATACGCATGGGACAGTACGAGGAAGTATGATTCACATTAAAGAAACTTGCAAATGAATGTGATATCAATCACACCCAAGTCACATGGTAGTTGGTAACAGGCTGAAAGAGCAGCACGAACAACTATCGCGATCGATCCTCACCGGACTGTGCGTCATCTCGGAGCATCTGGTCGGCCAGTTTGAGCAGCTGTTCCTTGGCGTCCAGGGCCTGTTTGTAGGATGATGAGGTGGCGAACGGCACGCTGACCGACACGGGCAGCGCGTACAGGCCGTGCCAGTGGGTGGTGGCGATGTCTGTCACGGCAGCCACGTCTGCTCCGCGCTCCCGTCGCTCCAGGCCGAGAAACACGG